CCCCCTCCTCCCCACCCGCCCGCCCTGGCCGCCCCAGGCTGGGAGAGGGAGCTGGCTGGAACCCAGCTGGGAGGGGGAGCCATGCTGCTCTTTGCCCCTCACGAGCCATAATGGTGCTGTACCCCCCAGCGTGCCTGTGTCCAGCACGGCAGCCAGGGGGCTCGTGCTAGCTGGGGGCCCGTGTGCTGTGCATCCCTCCAGGACCACACGGGGATGCCATCTCCAGTAAAGAGGCTACAGCAATGGCGAGCAGAGGGATTTCTCGGCCGGAGGTTCATCCTGCAGGTTCCAGGGGAGATAGAAAACTCCCTGGCTTGTACTCACGTGTTGTGTGCCCTTAAACAGCCCCCCTGCCCCACCCCAGAGGCAGCCGCATCCTAGCACAGGGATCTCGGCATAAACACGGGCTGGATCCCGGTCCCTGAGTATTGGGCAGGGACTCCAAAGACTCTACCTGGAACCTCTTGTCGTTGACGTCCTGCACCCCGTTGTAGTAGAAGTTGTCGCCGAGGGACAGGATGAAGTCCGCGCCCAGCGCTGCCACCGTGCGGCCCATCTCCTTGGCCGTGGCCACCTCGCGCGGCGTGTGGAAGGGGGGATTGGACACCCCGCCCCAGTCCCCCAAGGCGATGAAGCGCAGGGAGGAGCCGGTGGAGAGCGGGCTGGCGTAGGGAGTTGGCAGAGCCGCCAGGAGGAGCACGGAGAGACACAGGTAACCCGCCATCTGTGGGGAACAGGGGGAGATGCAGCCACAGGAGACACTCTGCTCTGAGCCCCTCTCCACAAGGGAGGCAGGGGCTAGAACTAGGGATGAGCCGGGACTCCTGAGGGGGAGTGTTTCACTCATTAGAACACGGGGCAGGGAGCCCGGACTCCTGGATTCTCAACACCACTCTAGTGTCGGCAGCCGGGGGGGGTTCTGGTCCCAGCTGTGCCACTGACTCACTGCGCTGCCTTGGCCAACTCCCTCCCTCCTAGTCAGGGTCTTGGAGGCATGCTCGGCTGGGCAGGGGCTGTCCACACTGGGCCTTGGACCAGTGTCACTAAACCAGTTCAAATCACACAGTGAACCAAGTGAAACCCCCCTGACCCCCAGGCCGCCCACCCTGATTTCAGCTCAACCTGCCCAGCTCACTGGGAAGCATCCTGCAGGCACCACCCTCCCCCAAGCAGCAAGAGCAGGCACAAGAGGAGATGGTGAAAGGAGGGTGGGAATGGCTGGTTTGAGCCGCCCAGCCCTTGTTCAGACCCTGCCCCAAGGCTTCGGGAGACAGAGGGTGAGAGAGGACACAGCCCAGAGACAACAGCCGGGTGCTCAGCTGTCCAGGGCGCCTGGCAGCTCCAGGAGCCAGCGCCCCAAAGCTATCAACAGGCACTTGTCAGGACCCCCGTTGTGCCAGGCGCCGCACAGACCCCGGCCGGGATCGGGGCCCCGTTGTGCCAGGTGCCGCACAGACCCCGGCTGGGATCGGGGCCCCATTGTGCCAGGCGCAGCACAGAC